AGATGCCATCAGGACCCTGTGATTTATTTATTTTGACTTTAGCTAGGCTTAGTACCACATCAGCCTCAGTTATACATATATTGGTCATAGACGACGCTGTATTCGTGCTAATTCATTGGTGGAACTATTTGCTTTGGCAGGTACACCATAGTGTTGTGCTATATGCATGAATTGTTTTGAGAAATGCTCTTATAGTCTTGAGAATGTTAAACATGTTTCACGAAATGTGCCAAAGCAATTGAGAAAACCTCTAATTCAGTTGTCAGAAAGGTTCTTTCAATGATGAAGTATGAGGGAGACAGTTCAAAAATTGAGGTTTGATAGGATGATAAAATTACAATTTCCTTGTCACCAGCAACATAACCATGTTTGTGATGACATCCAAGCAGATTTTTAGAGGGTGGTTGAGACATCAAGATGATTTTTTTCCTCAATGAATTGCAAGGGAGAATATCAGATGTGATGTAGATGAAAACATATGGCCAGACTAGCAGGAGCGATAGGACAGCACATGATGTAGAATTTGCCTCATTCTTTCCAAAATAACTACCTAAAGTACTGTGTACATGTTTACTGTTCCATATAACTTAATTGTTTTTCAAAGCTTCCATACTTGTGTTTGGTGTCACGATCCACGGGGAAGCAGGTGACAGATGCTGCGAATATAAACAAAAGGGCTTTATTTCCGGGACGACACACTGCAAAACACACGTAACATTACAATGACCGGACTGTGGAAACAAACGGAAACGCGGACTAAATACAATGGACTAATTGACAACGATCAGGAACAGCTGGTAAACACGGGGAATCCACATGCGGTTAATGAGGGGGCGTGGCACACGAGAGGAGCGGACGATCAGGGCATGACATTTGGTTTTATGTGTAGCACTGTAATTTCTATTGTCTGGATGAAAAAAATTCCACCTTACAAATGTTGCAGTATTCCTGTCTTGCAGAAAACACCAATGTGGTAGAACCTTATAATGGTTTCTAGAACATAAATAGCTGTGGTTTGGAGCACAAGCAAATTTAGCTAGCTATAGAGAAAGGATAGTGAAGTAAATTGAGTAAATTGAACAATTTTAATTCTCAAAATATTTCCACAGTATATTTTCATGTTGACAACATTACTAAACATTTGGACTGGTATGTCTTTAGGAAATGATTCAGAGATTTCATATTTGACTCAATGGCTGACGAAAAATCACATTTTGAAACATAAATGAAAGGTTTTGAATGAATTATTTAATTTTGCTGGTTATTGTGCTGCAGTGTACAAACTGTTTTGAGAAATGCACAAGCAGCTCAGAGAACCTCAAGATTATTTAGAGAAATTATCCAAAGGAACAGAGAAAGACTGTATGAAAGGTTGGCAAATGAGGCCCATTACTTTATTAAATTCTATGTGGTACATTCTGCTAGTTACACACCCCATTTCATATTTTCATACGTTTTCATATAGTGTATGGTGCAAGCTGTTGTCAGCTAATAACCTTCCCATTGTCTTCCAATTTATTTTACAGAATATCAAATAAACACGATTTGCAATTTTATCTCCTGATCACCAGCTGTTACTAGTTTAAGCACCTATATATTAGGTCCTTTATAGATTACTTTATTTTTCTTCCAGGCAATTGTTGCTGGTTTCGGTCCACTTTATGCCTTCATTGGGGCAGAAGAGGGAGTGGCTCTCAAAGTCAGTGGCAAATACCTGACCCCAGTTGACAATAAGAAGAAAAAATATCACATTGAGTGCAGGAAGAACACAAAAGACCCTCGGTGCAAGTTCCTCTTAGAAAAGGTCAATGATGATAAAGTTTATAAAGTTTGTATGAAAGATTTTAGAGGAGTATACCTTTGCCAGACTCCCAAAGGAAAAATAAAATTTACTAAGACGGTTAAGAAAGCCTGTGATGCATCTTATGAATTTGATGTTTTCACGAAAGGTGAGGTGGTTTTGTTTAGAGCTGAAAATGGCAAATACCTGAACCTCAATGATAAACAAATCATCGAAGCTGCCAAGGATGGGCCGGATGTGTCTTGTGAATTCTTCCCAACCATTGGAGACATCATCAGTCCTCAGTTTCAGATCAAATCTTTGTACTTCAAGAAAGCCCCTGAGGTGGTTTACAAACAAAGCGTGGAGAAGAAAGAAACTTACATCAACAGAAGTAGTCAGCCACAGAAGCACAGGTTTAATATGTCTTGGATGAAAAGTGACACTGAGACAACCACTTGGGAACATGCTTGGGGCTTGAACGGCAAAGTGTCTGGTATACTTATAGTTGCAAATGTAGAAGTCTCAGTCTCATATTCAGGATCATACGGCACCAGCTCCACAAAACAGAAAACCATCACCATGGGGGATGAAACAGAAGTCACAATCCCACCTAATAAGAAGATAACAGTTAAATCAGTAGTCAAAAAGCAGGAAGACTGTTTGATCCCATTTGTTGCTACAATCAGGAAGATTAAGAGTAATGGAGATGTGAAGGAGTTCACGGAAGAGGGCATCTGGGAAGGGGTGATTTATGAGAACATGAACATTGACATTGAGGAGGAGGAGTTGTGAAATTAAGCATAGCAGCAACATCCTCTCTTAAGCGAGCTAGTGAAATACACATGATCAGTTACAACGTAAACGTTTAATTACTTTTCCTTGTAATTCATTTACTTCGTAAGTGTAGAACAGAGAAGGTTTAGGAATATTTAAGCAATAACATATAATATATTGTCATACTCCAATATATTGCAGCTGTGATTCAGTCGTGGGGCTGACCATTATTCATAGCAAAGACATGAGTTCCAAGATTGCAAGGCTCTACATTACAGTATAAAATTCCACTGGCAAAACACTTGCATGCACATGTAACTTCAGATCTCAAGACACAGTACAATAGCAAACATAGAACATCACAGTACTGTATAACAAGTACCAAAATGGCAATACAAGAACAACAAAATCATGTACTGTGAGTACCAAAAACACAACAATGCCATATCACATCAGTTTATGAAATATATTTTCAAATCATTCTGAATGCTTGGTTAACAGTTTTGCATGTGGTGACTAACACGATGACCACCAACATATATAGTTTTGGGTATAAAATATTACAGTGGGAATCTAAATAATCTATTTTGACTAACAAGACTAAAGCAGCTGAAAATTGTGCCAAATTATGACAAATGTACAAATACTTAGCCCCATGCACTACTATTGAGGTAGATCTGGTGGAAAGCCAATACAGCTTACCATCCAAAGAACCATACCTACAGTAAACAAGGAGGTGGTAGCATCCTGTAGTGGGGGTGTTTCTCTGCAACAGCGACTGGGGCTCTTGTCAAGATAGAATGAAAAATGGATGGGGCAAAATACCATTAAATTCTTGAGGAAAACCTACTGCCCCCTACCAGAATGTTGTCAATGGGAAGAAGGTTCACCTTTCAACATGACAAGTTAAAGCACAGACTTAAACCCTATTGAAAATCGTTGGAATGACTTGAAGATTGTGGTCTAACAACAGTCACCATCCAGTTTGACCAAGCTTGAACAATTCTGTAAAGGGTGGGTAAATTCTGTGGTTCCACAAAGTACTGACACAGGGTTTTGACCTTTAACCATCACTAATTCTGTTTTTTTTTTCCTGAAGTTTTGCTATTATATCTTTCACTTGGCTGTCCTATGTTGCATTGAGTAAATACAGCTGAAATTATTGATTGTGTCTTCATTTTTGGCCGCAAAGGAATGAGATGTGAATATTTTGGAGAGTGGTTCTTTTCTATACCCACTGTATGTTTTGTATATATTGATGATATTAGGGTTCACTCACCAACCAAGAAGTGTCACAGTGCTGGCAAAGACAGAGGCAGGAGCATGCATTAGGGCAAACAAAGATGGGTCTATTGAGAACCAAACAGGGCCAACAAAAGGCAGACTACATGGGGTCAAATGAAGGCAGAGCTAACGGATACAAATACAGGAGCACACACTGGGGTGATGGTAATGGACTGGGAGCACAGGATTGGGAGGCACTCTAATATGCAAATGATGAGGGAGCAGACAAGAAGCAGCTGGAGTGAGTCACATGAGGGCTGAGATGAGGCAAGGCAAATTAGTAACAGGTGTGGCTGTTTGGAGCCACGCTAGGGAGAGAACGAAGGGGGCGGGGATGCAGGGTGTGACACTACCCCCCTCCCCAACAAGTGCACTCCAGACACACAGGATAGGCAGGAGGGGACCAAGAGGGACCCAACAACAAATAGGGCCAGCAAGCAAGACAGGACATGACAGACACCAACCAAACAGGACCGAGCAGGGTAAGACATTAGACAGGAGCATGAAACTAACCACAGGATGTTGTTGGCACGCACACACACACACTCACACACATCCCTCAGGACTGGACCAACAAGGAGAGAACCACAGAGCCAGGGTCAGACTGACATGGCACAAGCAAACAGGGCACAAGACCAGACATGGGCAACACTAGGGATCGCACAAACAGCAAGACAGAACAGACAAAGACAGGACAGACAGGTGCAGGGACAACAGAGCAGGGTACAGACAATTACAAGGGAAATGTGAGGCATGGGCCAGGGAAGAACAAAGGTGGGACAGGGATACAAGGCACAAACTGAAATGGGGCAGGAGGGAACAGGGCTGAACTAGGGAGGTCCTCTGGGGGGGTGTTAATCCCAGGACACTCCCCCCCCCAAACCTTCGTGAGGCCAGCAGGACCAGGCAGAACCAAGGAGTTGGTAGGGCAAACACCCCTTGATGCTCCGTGAGCTCCAACCANCTTTTCTATACCCACTGTATGTTTTGTATATATTGATGATATTAGGGTTCACTCACCAACCAAGAAGTGTCACAGTGCTGGCAAAGACAGAGGCAGGAGCATGCATTAGGGCAAACAAAGATGGGTCTATTGAGAACCAAACAGGGCCAACAAAAGGCAGACTACATGGGGTCAAATGAAGGCAGAGCTAACGGATACAAATACAGGAGCACACACTGGGGTGATGGTAATGGACTGGGAGCACAGGATTGGGAGGCACTCTAATATGCAAATGATGAGGGAGCAGACAAGAAGCAGCTGGAGTGAGTCACATGAGGGCTGAGATGAGGCAAGGCAAATTAGTAACAGGTGTGGCTGTTTGGAGCCACGCTAGGGAGAGAACGAGGGGGGCGGGGATGCAGGGTGTGACACTACCCCCCTCCCCAACAAGTGCACTCCAGACACACAGGATAGGCAGGAGGGGACCAAGAGAGACCCAACAACAAATAGGGCCAGCAAGCAAGACAGGACATGACAGACACCAACCAAACAGGACCGAGCAGGGATTAGACAGGAGCATTAAACACATTAGACAGGAGCATGAAACTAACCACAGGATGTTGTTGGCACGCACACACACACACTCACACACACCCCTCAGGACTGGACCAACAAGGAGAGAACCACAGAGACAGGGACAGACTGACAAGGCACAAGCAAACAGGGCACAAGACCAGACATGGGCAACACTAGGGATCGCACAAACAGCAAGACAGAACAGACAAAGACAGGACAGACAGGTGCAGGGACAACAGAGCAGGGTACAGACAATTACAAGGGAAATGTGAGGCATGGGCCAGGGAAGAACAAAGGTGGGACAGGGATACAAGGCACAAACTGAAATGGGGCAGGAGGGAACAGGGCTGAACTAGGGAGGTCCTCTGGGGGGGTGTTAATCCCAGGACACTCCCCCCCCCAAACCTTCGTGAGGCCAGCAGGACCAGGCAGAACCAAGGAGTTGGTAGGGCAAACACCCCTTGATGCTCCGTGAGCTCCAACCACCGAAAACAGAGGAGTAAACAGCAGACTGTGTCTGTGCCCAACACCGGTGAGGCCTCCTCCGCCTAGCTTCCTGAAGCTAGGCTTCATTAGCATGAAGCACCATTGAGTTTTTCATGTCAGACCTTTGCAGGACAACTAATTATTAGTACTAAATTAGCTCACTAAAATGATGATGATGATGATGATGATGATGATGAAAACCCGGAAGACAACATTCAAATATGACCTCTATATTGTATTTTTATTCTTTGTTCTTTGTGCTGCGTTTCCTATTTTTTTGCTCCATATAGCTTTGATTAATTGATTGCTTAGCTACCACTACACATTAACAACCACACATACAGCCTCATGCTCCATCCACTGCTGCCGTCAGTCTCTCTGAGATTATAAGGTTCTCAGATTGATGTTTGTTTAGTTGTCATGCTGGAAAGGAGAAGCACAACCCAGATGCAGCTTCTTTGCACAGTTATCCCCGCTAGTGGACTTTACTGAAACGGGAACAATGGTTCTGAAGTGTGGACAAGCAACAATGACAGAACTAAAGGAACAAAGGATCCAAGAGCACTTGTATACACAGACAACAGGAGACAGCTGGAGGTGATTAGAACAAGACGGAGGGCTAACAGGCACCGGGCATGGTTAGTCAGACCACGGCCAGGGGAGGGGATGAGAGGATCAGGTTGACGAGACAGGCAGAGCGTGACAGTATTCTGCAAAATGGAATGGGGACACTGAACGTAACTCGGTCCAAATGGAAAATTGAACTCTTCTGTTGCACCAAATAGATAAATTTAAAAACCACTTCTCTCTGGTGCCACTTGGAGCTGGTGGCACCCTAGCCCTCTGCCTAGTTTGCCTAGGCCTAAAAATGGTTCTGATTACACTTACAATATTTAATATATTTATAGATGTTTGTGGATCTTCGTTTTTAGTACTTAGCTGGCAATTAGGGAACAGGTCATCCTCTCAACCAATGCAGTGCTGTAGGTGCCGGAAGATTCTGTGTGCCGTTCACGTACACTTCCACTCTTGGCGATTAGTGGCGAGATTTCTAACCTCATCAATATATAGTCTCTGGTTCCTTAGGTCTTCCTCAACCTGTTTTAGCCACGTTTTCTTTGGGTCTTTTCATTGAACACTGCAGTTGTAGCACAGGTTGCTCTCGCCAGAGGAGCTTGTTTGGCAATTGATTGGTGTTCATTCTGCAGACAAGGTCAAATCACTGCAGTCTGCATTTTTGAATTTGTCCTCCGATTAAAGGTTGATAATCGCACCTTATCTGTATAGTTTCATTAGGGTTACCTCACAAGCAATAAAACTTCAGTTGATACCCTAGTTAAAATCCCTGGTTACCTTAGTTAGGTTACTCTCTTACTCGCACTATAATTTAATACTAGCAGCAGCACAGACAGGGAAGCCAACAATTTACATTGTTGCACTCATGGATAAATGCTAAACACACGCCTTACCTGGCAAACATTATAGAGTTGCAACCTTTACAATCAACATTAACACAGAAAAATGCATTAATTTAAAACTGTAGGAAAAGGTATAGGGAAAATATTCTTTTATTTATTTGATGATGATTATTCCTCCAATCCCCAGTGAGTCTGTTATTGGAGGACTTGAATGGGATTGACTAATTACCAGCATTGCTCAGTGACCTGGGTTAAAATGACACAGTGGTTGTGTGAAACAGGGACACAACACTAGGTCTAACAGGCTACAAGACAGAGGAGGGAACAGGATGGGGACATCACAAGTTCAGTGTAAACAGATATGGCATATCAATATAAACGTCAATTACTGCAAACAATATACAACCTTCCTTCGCTGACCCAAATAATTTACAGAGCAAAACAAACAGAATAGAATAGAAACACCACACTGTCTTATCCACAGCCAGTGTTCTCGTACAGCGTACAGTACCGACTGGTCGGAGAGCTTGTTGTATAAGTCTGGTTGTTCAGTAAACAGGCAGGTCGTTAAGTGAGGAATATCTGTATTAAAAGCATAATTCTAAAAACTGTGAAAAAAAACAGTGGAAACGATCACTATACAATGTCCTGCTTGGGACAGAATCATTCCTGTACAAAAATTGTTTAAATAATTCCAATATAGTAATCAAGCAGTCTTCTTACAGTGTCCATTTTGGGTATTTTCATACATGACAACATATGAAATTTTTTTTAACTATGGTAATTTTTACTTTACTTTGATATGCACGGTATAGAACTGTGAATTATTTCAGCTATGTGCGGTAAATCTTCAAATGCATTACCCACATATAGGGTTCAAACTGTTGTCTTACACCTCTGGGACCAGAGTTCAAGCCTTCACCATGGTTCTATGTGTGCGGAGTTTCCTCTGGCTCCAGTTTCCCCCCACAGTCCAAAAACATGCTGTGGTTAATTGGAGCTACCAAACTGCCCATAGGTGTGCCTGCGTAAGTGAATGGTGTGAGAGTGTGCCCTGCAGTTGGCACCCCATCCTGGGTTGGTCCATGGCTTGTCTGTAGTCTCTGGGATAAGCTCCAGACTACCCTCAACCCTGAATAGGATAAACAGCTACAGAAAATGGATGGATGGCATATTTATAGATAGTCATTTAATATTGTCATAAAACACCCTCCATAGACAGAAGCTCTTCAACTGTTTCCCACTATGGTAGCCAATTGGAACAATAATTTTATCATGAGCTACCTTTGCAGTTCCAGTTATACCAATATCCTTAACTCCCTTGTTTTCATCATCTGAGATATCAGTGAAAACTGTGTCACGTGCAGCATGGATGTACCCTTACGGTCAAGCATGCGATTAACTTAAGCATCTAATACAATTACAAATTTGATATATAGATTGCAATAAAGTGTAATAGCATCATTTAGTCAGGCAGTGAAAGTGAAACTACCTGTGATAAATGTTTTCAACCTGTTAATTGAAGCATAGATATTACAGTGTTAAATGACTTGCTTTTAATTCCTGTGCAAATTTGTATCACTTGAGTACCAGCTGCAGCAGGTAAAGTTACCACCCGACACCATACAGCTGCTGCATACTCACCTACAAAACAGCCTCTCTGACCCTCAGTTTTTCAAGATGAATATGGTATTACATATTACCCCGTATTTGTAAGAATAAAGGGTAGGGTTTTTTCTTGAAATTGTCTCTTGAAAACAGGGATCGCCATATTCCAGTAATTTCTGGTATTATTTTTCAAGTATTATAATTGCTGCTTGTTGGATGAAGTACAGCAGGTAATTTGGCAGTAGCCTACTGAAAAACAATATACAGCGGTCAACTTTTATAAAAACCCTCCTTCAAAATATGACTAGGGTATAATTTTATCATGCCTGTAAAAATTCAAGATAACTCATTTATTTTCCAGGACAAGTGGACATTTTCCATTACTGGAAATGCATTTTAAAAGTCCAGGATTTCCAGGACACATGGGTACCCTGTCAGAATTAGTCATCTGGGCATAACGATTTTGCCCTCATCATAGTCGCTATGGTCTTTACCCCTCCCAATTTCTTCTGCATTCAACATGTCTACTCCAAGTCCCAAATGTTGGCTTAATGTTGGCTTGTAATATATCCCAGATCTTGACTTGCACCATTTTTATGATATAGTCAACATTATTTGCTTCACGTGAGACTGGTCAAAATGTTTGGCTCATTGGCATATATAAAGATAACACTTAACAAGACAGGTTTTTCATATACTGGCAATTTTGGCCTCACATATAAAGGCTGTTTTTAAATCAATTTTAAATCTATGTCAGTAGTATGTTTTTTGATTAATACATCAACTTCCTGGGGCTTGCTGGGACACTAAAGAAGGCACTATATGTGAATTACATTAAATGAGTGTGCATATATGAAAAATACTACTGTAATATAGATGATATGGATTATAGTCTTTAGGCAAAGGGATTTTGTCTTATAGGCAAAGTTTATTCTTCTGACAATGTTGATTGTCCAAAAAGATTCACTCAGCAGACATTTTAGAGTAAACTGGGAAAAGAAGCATTTAAACTTAATAGGGAGTGAAACACACTGAAACCCAAATGACACTTTTCAATAAAATTATATATAGTACTTTGAGTGCTTTCACACTTGGTCGCATTTTAGCCATTAAAACAAACTCAGAACAATTAGTCTGCATTTTTGTGCATGTGTGAACACTCCAAATGAACTTACACCCCTTTAAAATAAATCAAACTGTTAGCTTTGAACACAAAGCGCTCTAGACTTGCCATAGGCAGATCACATGCTATTGCACAGTGATGCTATCTATAATCCAAAGAACTGAGTCCTCTTCAAAATAAAGTCACAATGTGAACTTTATATTCTCTTGGTCCACTTTAAGAGGGCTGAGTTTGGCTCATTTGAAAAGGACTACATGTGAAAACACCCAAAAACAGACAAAAAAAAGCTGTTTAAGTAATGTTCTTGTCTTTTTTTGTTCAGCCTTACCATTACAATTAGAGATGCACCGATCCGATATTCAGATCAGTATCGGCATCGATCCAGACATATTAAACAGATCGAGTATCAGCCATATGTGACCGATCCACAACTGATACTTACTTATTTAGTTTTCTGCAGTCTGTAGAAAGATAGCTCCTATTTCTTGTTAAATCGATTTGCACAATCAGTCGCTCAACAGCCCCTTCTCATTTTAGATGTTTTTTGAAAGCCTGGGTGTCACGCCAGATGCATGACAGTTGGCAACCTTGATTCCATGTGCGTCTCTGACTTTTGGCGTCTAGCGATTCAGTATTACTCGGGATTAGGAGCCCTTTGCATTCATAATTAATTTCTTTTTTCCCTTACAGTCCGCTGCCGTGGAACATTATGAAAACAGACCCAAAGCCCACAACCTGTGACCTCCAAATATTTACCCGCAACTGTATTTTCAAAATAGCTTAATTGGGCGGGAAAACCATGGACCTGGCAACTGTGTACTCAGTGGGTGTGAGCGTGGTGACTTCCGCCTGCTGTGACGTCATGCGTATATCCTTCGCAGTACGAGAAGCATAAGAACATCAGATCAAAAAGTGACGATCCAGAAGTATTTTATGCTTTTAACAACTAGTAGCACAGCGATTTGCAAGCTATGTAAAACCAAAGGATTGAGAGATGAAAGTAGTGTTTAGTGGAAAATCCCACTAAACGAGGCGCAAGTAATATGAAAAAAGCAATGGATGACTTGGGAGTCACTAGCTTAGACTGTTTTACGCATGCAGGGCATTAAAAAAAAATTTGTGTTCATCATGACATGTGTTCATACTTGACTTTACCCCAAAATACAAATTGTCATAGAATGTAAACTGAAGCTGAAAATGTGGCCAAAAAATGCCCATGTTTTAAAACCTCAATTGGGTCCCCAGGACCGACAATTGAACATAAGGCTTAAGCATTCGGCACTTGCGTATACACTCTTGGAAGATATTCAAACTGAACTGCAAATGCCTCAAAAATGCTTAAAGCAAGATGCACAAACGAGGTGGAAAAGTACATTATGTATATCTCTATTAGCCTAATGAAAGATTTTTTGGCATACATTTTTTTCGTTTGAATTTACAAATTTTCAAAAATAAAGCATACATATTTATAGGTTTATATATATATACACACATTACATTAAAATATAAATGTAAAATAAGCTCTTGTATTGGAATTTGTATCAGTATCAGCAGTTGTGTATCGGAATTGGATCGGAACTGAAAAAATATGGATCGGTCCATCCCTAATTACAGTATGGCTTCTTCTACAACTAAACCAAACCCTAAGATAACTGACTAAAGTGAATTTTTTGATGTTTTTTAAGGTGACTTGACTGGCTGAAGCTTTTCCCGCACTGACTGCAGCAGTATGGTCTCTCCCCTGTGTGGTACCTCTGATGTATTTTCAGGTACCCTGACTGACTGAAGCCCTTCCCACACAGCGTGCAGCGGTATGGTTTCTCTCCAGTATGCACTCGCTTGTGCTTCTTAAAGTCGCCTGCATGACTGAAACGCCTTCCACACTGTATGCAGCAATAAGGTTTCTCCCCTGTGTGACATCGCTGATGTATTCTAAGACTTCCCACTTTACTGAAGGCCTTCCCACACAAAATGCAATGATACTTTTCCTCATGCTTGTAATACGGTCTGTGCTTTTCAATATCTATACCAAAACTGCTTTTGTTTAAAGTACCAAGATTTGTGTGAATACACACTAGTCCATAAGAACTCAAACTAACTTGCTGAGGGTCTTCCTCTTGCGCTATGATGCTTTCTGAGTCTGTAGCATCATAAAATGAGTTTGTTGGCTGGATGACTGTTTGAAGAACTGTAGCACAATCAGCTGGCGGCTCTGATTTAGTTGTATTGGAAACAAAGTTTTGTTGTATGGTTGAAGTGTCTGGAGGAGTCACAAATGACACATGCTCAGTGTCACAATGCTCAGTGTCATCATGATCATCATCGCTCTTCACATACTGAAGATCAGATGTCAACAGAGCATCTTCAACAATTTGGGGAACTGTGACAGATTCTGTTATTGATTGAGCACTCTCGTGTTCTGGACCACTGATCTTCCCATAGATCAGGCTCCTGGGGTGATGTTCAATGAGCTCTAGCTTTTCCAGCTGCAGGGGGTCCACATCCTGCCTCAGAGTGGCGTTTGACTCCAGCCCACCAAGAGTCCCTCCTCCAGACACAGGTGACATAGTCACTTGTTCAGCTTCTCAAGAAAAGAGATACAAAGAAAACTGTTTGAACATCAACACAAAAGGCCTGCATCACAATTGGCTGCTGTTCAGTGTCTCAAACCTACCCACACTGACTCTCTTGAGCTTATCCTGGAGCTCCTGCAGCCTCCGCTTGAGGCTCTCGTTCTCTCTCTGCGTCCGAGCGGTCTTCTCCTGGTACTCCGACACGGTCTCTTTCACCACCTCCAGCACCTCATGCACGGCCACCGTCAGGAGCTTCGCCACACGGGCGTTCAGGCGCTCTATTTTAGACATCCTGCAAAACTCCAACTCCTTGAAAAGAAAAATATCATTGGACTAAATATACAGGACTGAGAGACTTAAAGACCATCTCTTTAACTAATACCATCACTAACAGCAATCGTTTACCGATTAATCAGCCAGGAAAAAAGTAAGCATTTTATGGCAATCGGCATCGACTGATTAATCAGACAACATGGTCGATATAGTGATGGCTGCGCGTGGCTGCAGATATTGAATCATGAAACGCTAAAGCGACAGCACCGAATGTGGTTAAATTGTTGTTTTATTTTGCATTACTTTTAAAAAGCTGCATGATCTTGTTTAAAGTGAGATTAATAATTAATATTATTAATGATATTATATATTAAATTATTATTGTTTTTGTATATTAATGTTAAATATTTAAAGTTAAGCAGTTGTGTTACTCATTTGTTGTTTTTCTACTTTAAAAAAATCGCTCTCCCCCACCCCCAACAAAATTGGCATCAGTATCAGCCACTGAAAAAATCATATCGGTCGAACTCTAACTGAAAGCAAAATATCAACAGCCATATCATCCTGATCTGAAACTACCCAGGCTTGGGCCTGGCTTGTACTTGGATGGGAGACCAATTAGAAAAGCCAGGAAGAGGTATAGTTGTCCTGTCCTGTGGTCTGCGTGGATGCCAATGCAGTGATGGGGACACTATGCCGTAAAATACAGCATTACTACAGCGTTTGGATGAAACCTAAAACCAATGTCCTGACTCTCTGAGGTCATAGAAGATCCTCTGGCATCTTTAGAAAGAGAATGGATGGTACTCTGATGTTCTGGGTAAATGCCTGCCCACTGTAGCCCTTTCAAATCTGGCCTCCTAATCATCCCCTATTTCAAACTAGTGAATTATTAGGCCTTAAGTTAGCTTCTTATTCGCAGCATCGCTAGAAGGGAATGTTTGCGCATGATACAGTTTTTACAAGACATTTTGGAAATACAAAATAATGTATGAATAAAAGGTTTGAGAATGTATATTAGTCTTCCTGTATTGAAAATGGTGGAATTACCTGGCCATAATGTGATTTTTCATTTGTAACGGTAAACTGGTCGCATGACACTTTGATCAATTGTTCACACTCATTTGAATAAGAAGCCATATTTCCAAATGGAATGCAGAGGTCTTATTCATCTTGGGTAAGGCAAATATGAAATGCATAGTACACAGCAGGCATGCCACTCTAATGACACTGAAATTAGCCTAGGCCAGATAGCTACCTAGCTGAAAACATGACAGTCTGGCCTAATTTCAGTGTTTCCTTACAATGGCATACCTGCCATTATATTGCACGACATAACATTTTATTTCGTATTTTCAAAATGTCTTAACTAAAACTGTGCAGCATGTGCAGCTGCGAACACTCCCCTATAAGGAAGCTGGAAGTAACTTTAGCCGTGAAAAAAAACGCTACGAAAAAGAAGCTAAACGAATCGGAAGCTGCAGATAAGTACCTAACATCAGCAGTGATCCGTAGCTCCGCCCACCGCCCCGATTAACATATATTCGCATGTAGTGAACTTGAAAATGAAAAGGCAAAGTAGAAAATGATAGGTCAAATTGGAAAATCAAAAGACAAAAGGGTTTTTAATTTTATTTTTTAATTTTTCACATCTGACTCATACACGAGTGGAAAATTTAAATGCAAATGCTCCTATTTCATTTTAATTATTGCAGGATTTTTGAGCACAGACTTTGGAAACTAAATGGCAAAGTGGAGATTGTATTTTCTTTTTATCATTTTCATTTTATTTTTTGCAGAAATACCTCCCATATAAAAGGCTTTGGATGTCTTGAAAAGTGTAGTATAAGTTAATATAGATAAATGTAACATTCATTCATATTTACATGTAAAAGTCAGTATCACTGATATTACTCAGTAATACTGTGTCAGTTCATCTTCTGCTTACTCAGTGCAGGGTTATGTAGAAGCTGGCGCGCGCGCGCGCGCGCACACGCACTGAATTCAGAGACGTCTAACTGAATGTCTATGAACAGCAGTGGAAAAACATACATCATGAAGAGAACGTGAAATCACCAAAAACGGACGTGCGAGGCCATGGTGAGCCAACGATGAATTATAAGCACTTCATAGTTAATGGGACAGCGCGAGTAAAAAAATGGAGATAAACATACTGGCATTCGGTATGCAAAACATCTACGGTATGTGTATTGCTTGGGGTGGATATCCCATTAAACATCGTTATTGTGCAAAATATGGGAAATGCGGAATGAAATGTCATTTTGGAGAAATATCATTCCACATCCACTTACGACACAGATCTATACAACATAACACATTTGACAGATTATTACAATCCTTGCAGTTTGAAGTCAAGTTTTATACAAAAGTTTAGGTTGCCCTCAGTTAGCCTGGACATTGCGCTTAGGTTTTAAGATCTGAGTAATCGAGTTAATTATAAACCTAATGCTATTCGCCACAAAGCTTCTGCTGTGAATAACGTCCACGACCAAATCGAGCCAACCTACCTTTTCCTACAGTTTCCTTAAAACTCGCCGTCTTCAGGTGGAAGTGATATATATATATATATATTTTTTTTGAGTTTCAGTAACAACTAGAAAATCCGGATAATTATGTGGCGAAAGAAAATAAACGCTGGGGAATCCTGGCAGCAGTATTGTAAACAGAAATTAATCACATTTAGACTAGTAAATCAATGTGCATAAGATAGTATTCGTCATTATATATTTTATCTTAGGAGAAACACAAAAACCACGGCAAGAACCACCAAAGACTATTATGAACAACGACTTGCTGCAAAACGCCTAAGCTTTACTTATTCGCGGAGTAATTTTGCACCTTAGATACGCAGTCTAGCGCTGTAGTGCCACCCACCGCCGTGGAGGGCAAACAGCGACAAACGTGCCAAATTCTTTCCCCAGTTTTTCCCAGTCTCAATTGCTGCCTGCGAACATCCAGGAAAACAATTTAAACAAAATAAGGCCATTGGCTTACGCCACTAAGTCCTCTTGCACTCATGCTCAGATGCAGAGTTATGAGAAAGTACCAATTATTATGAAAAAAAATGCAGCTTCACCATAGACTACTGTTAGGTGAATGCAGAACTTTTTCGGGACCATTTCAAAAGGAAAACTTACTTAGATTGCATACTTTCCACTAGCAAAGGTCAACTTTGACTTTCCAGACTTCATTAAAAGTATCCAAGAACCTTAAATAAAATGTGTGTAAACTTTTCCAATTCTTAAATTGATTTACTTCTCTGTAATGACATACACTGCATGGATAGAAAAAGCAATTTACAGCTAATAATTTTCCCTTTCTGCATTTCTCCTTAGCAGTTCAAGCATTTTTACAAAACGTAGCCAACCACAATGCTGTCAAACTGGGAAAAATCTGACAATTAAGTATTGCCCCTTATGCCCGGGCTTAATATCTTTCCATGTTTACTTTGTAAACCTTATTTTAAATCAAGATCAAAACACACTCATCTGAAGAGGTTTCAAAAATAATAATGAACTTGTTAAAACAATTAATGGAAAAAATGATCAAATAAGAGTTTCATACATTTGTAAAATCCAATATCAGCCAGTTCACTTTCCATTGTTTTTTTAATGAGGGCAGATGTGCAGCAGTGACCTGCTACTTCAGGTTTGCCCCTCCAGTGATGTTTCATCAAACATACTGAGCAGGTTCTTGGGTTCGAAGGCCGTCCTTGGGCAGGAATCAGGTCTGATCCATTTGGGGATGGGGCTGTGATTGACTAAAGGAGGATCGTCATGCGTGCCGTTAGGACTGGGCCCATCAGACGGTGACAAGCTGTGCATGAGTGTCCTTGTCATATTTAAAGAGCTTGAGCTGTTGGGTGTGGTTGTGATGTTCCAGCTGCGGACAGGGCTGTGTCTGGGAGTCCGTGTAGCCCCATGATAAGAGTCCGAAGAAACTTTTGGGAGTGGAGTGGAGGTGCTTCCTAGCGACAGCCGTGATTGAACTCTGCCGGGGACACAAATCAAACAATATCAGTTGAAAATTTGTCAGCAGTACAAGCATTAAGGATGACAGCCTCAAACTGTGTTACCTCTGAGAGAAGCTGGGAGAGTCATCAAGCCTTACTGCATCAGGCAGAAAAACAAGCTCTTCCTCCAGGCTGCACGTGTCTGTGTGCAAGACGCTCAGTGCTTGTGTGCTGTAGTCTCCATCCCGCTCCCAGCTGTCTCGAGGAGGTGTGCATGGTACTGAGGGAGTAGGTACACGGAGGAACGGGAACCGGAAAGAGGACAGGAGCCTCCATCCAAACGACACCACCGACTAAGAAAAATGGAGGGGAAACACTGGGGCAGCTTTATAACAATCGCATGGATGGTCCATTAGAATAAGCAGACAATTCACCAGATAGTAAAATGGCTAATGTTAGTTAGCAAATTGTTAGGGTTAAACAGGGGAGGTTTTACCTGACAGAAAGAGAAGAAGAAGAGCAGAGATTCCAGCAGGAAGAGTGAAACTTGCCGTTTCAGCCTCTGTCTTCTCACTGCTGGGAGGGTCAGGAGCTGCAGGACTGTGGCCCTCGCCGAGGGCTCTGGGGCCAACATCATCTTCAGAACTGACTGCAGCTCACTGGATAGGACTAGACATTTATGTATGATTAGGACTGCATTTGTTACGCACTCTTATATGGAGTTTTAGACAAAAACAGTGTATAAATAGGCAGGTCATTATCAATTATATCAATAAATGAGTAATCTACTAAGTTGGTAGATTACTCATTTATTGATATAATTGATAATGACCTGCCTATTTATACACTGTTTTTGTCTAATATTATATATATATATATATATATATATATATAATGTGCACATACATACACACACACACAAAACATGTTTACTCAGTCATAGGAAACATAACTTAGTAAGCTTTATAATTATAATGATGGTTCTCAAGATTCTCCAGATTATCAAGATTCTCAAGATTCTTCATTCGTCACATGTAGTTATAGCTGGTAAAACATACAGTGAAATGTGTTTCCCTGGCTGAAAAAAGTACTCTCCGACTGTGCTAGACATACCAGAAAATGAGAGGTAAGAAATAAGTACTAACAGAGGATAAGTATAAAATAAGAGGAAAAAACGAATTTATATACATATTTATACAGAAGTACAGATGCATTTACTATGTAATAAATAATGTGCCATAAGGTGCAGACAAGGTAAGGTGCAGATGTGCCATGAGGTACAGATATTTTTATAATTTCCAGATGTAAGAAATTAAGTTATAGTAGATTGTGTGTCGTTGTCCGTTATGTGTTGTGTGTGTAGTTGTCCATCATGTTGTCCAGTTATGTGCTGTGGTTTAGGAGTCTCACTGCTTGTGGGTAAAAACTCCTCCTAAACCGTTCCGTTCTTGTTTTCAGGCTACAAAGGGGTTTCCCAGACCTCAGTAGCCTGAACAGTTTATGAGCGGGATGGCTGGAGTCACTAGTGATGCTGATGGCCCGGGATCTGCACCTTTCAGTGTAGATGTGCTG